TCTTTACACAACTCACACCACTCAAAGGCTTTCATTTTTCTTGAGGGTCAAAACCAAGCTCCTTGGCATAGGATATGAAGCCCCTGATGGCCCAGCGAGTGGCTCTAGCTCTCACCAGACCCATCTTTGGATATTTCTTCCTTGCTAAGATACACGATTTACAGTTCCCAGAAGGTGTGAGGATAACATACATCTCTGAGCCTTTTCATGTGCTGCTCCCTCTCTTTAGTTTACCTTCTTCCACTTACTTGAGTACCACTGACTCTGATTCACTCTTCAAAACTCAGAAAATTGGGAGCAGAAATTGCGTCCTGTCATCTCAGTGATCTCAGCACCTAGCAAGGTACCTACCATAAAGGAACTGTTCAACGAGTAGACAAGTGGTTCCTATGTGCCTGGTACCCTGTGGGATACTTGGTGTTATGGTTTGCATCTGCAATGTCCCCCAAAGGCCATGTATTGAAGGCTCAGTCCCTGATGCAGCTATGTTCAGAGGTAGAACTTTGGGGAATCAGCTGGATTATGTGGGCTCTGACCATCTGTGGATTAATCATCCTGACTGAATAGACCATGGGGAGGTGGTAGAACCTGTAGGAGATGGTGCCTACTGGAGAAAGTGGGTCACTGGGGGTGTTCCCTGGAAAGGTTTGTTTTGTCCCCAGCCCCTTCCTCTGTTGCTGCTCTCTCTCTCTGCTCCCCAGATGCCACGAGGTGAACAGAGATTCACCATGATTCATGGTGCCTCTCCTGTGCCCTTTCACCATGTTTTTGCCTTGGAACCAGCTGATCAGGGACTGAAACCTCTTGAAACTATGAGCCAAAATAAATCTTTCCTCTTGTTTTTCCCTCAGGTGTTTTGGCTATAGCCATGAAAAGCTAATACCCTTGCTGTATAATGCCCATATCTCAGCCATTTTCCCCTCAAACTAGTTTCCCCACCCCAAACATTTCTTTTTGCATCAATGACAAGGCTGGAAAAGTGAATTCTGAGTTATATCCTACCTCATTCCTATTTGCTCTGTGACCTTGGGAAAGTCATTTATTACCTCTGTGCCTCTAGTCTTTATCTGCAATAAGGGTTGATAAAAAGGAGAGGATAAGATGAATTACTTAAATTAGTATTTATTGAACCAGAGACTGTGCTAAACACTTTAAAATAAATTAGTTTGAGTGATAGTCATAATATTCCCATGAGACAGATTTTATACCCTTTATACAGAAGAGGAAACTACAGATCAGAGCAATAAGGTGGATAACTTGGCCCAAATCACAAAGCTGGAAGGTTTGGGGTACATGACTAAATCACAGGCTAGGGCTGGGGATGTGGCTCAAGCGGTAGCGCGCTCGCCTGCCATGCGTGCGGCCCGGGTTCGATCCTCAGCACCACGTACAAACAAAGATGTTGTGTCCGCCAATAACTAAAAAATAAATATTAAAATTTAAAAAAAAAAAAAAATTCTAAATCACAGGCTACATTAGAAAAAAAAAAATGGAGCATCCAGGTCCTTCCAACCCTGAATGAAGAGGAGTTTGTTTTTGTGTGTTTGGTTTTTGTGGCATAGGATATGAAGCCTATGTTAGGGCACTAAGTTACATCCCCAGTCTTTTTATTTATTTATTTATTTTCTTTAGTTGTCAATGAACCTTTATTTTTTTATTTATATGTGGTGCTGAGAATCGAACCCAGGGCCTCACACATGCAAGGCAAGTGCTCTGCCACTGAGCCACAGCCCCAGCCCCAGTCTTTTTATTTTTATTTTGAGGCAGGATCTCACTAAGTTGTCCATCTTGAGCTTGAACTTTCAATCTTCCTGCCTCAGCCTACCAAGCAGCTGGAATTAAAGACATGTACCTTCACATCCATCGCTGAAGAGGAGGATTTCTTATTGTCACAGCCTTTTCTAACCTTGGATGTCAAGAAGAGAGGACCTACCGCTTCCCAACAGAGCCACATGTGGTGAGTATGACATCTGACCCCCAGGCCCAAGCCCTCAGTCCTCCCCTGGGTACTCCTACAGTTCTTGACAATGATCTCCAGAACTCCTTCTGCACCTTCATTTTAAAACATATTTTATCTCGCTAGATCTCCTGAGTAAGGGAGGAATCAGTCCCCCCCCTTTTTTTTTTGCTACTGGAGATTGAACTCTGGGGCACTCGACCACTGAGCCACATTCCCCAGCCCTATTTCATATTTTATTTAGGGACAGGGTCTCCCTGAGTTGCTTAGTGCCTTGCCATTGCTGAGGCTGGCTTTGAACTTGCAATCCTCCTGTCTCAGCCTACCTAGCCACTGGGATTTCGGGTGTGTGCCACCACGCCTGGCTAGAGGATTTCCATTTTTGAGATGAAAAGAATGAGGCTCAAAGTGACTTGCCTAAAAAGTCATATAGCCTTATTCCTCAACAGGACAACAGTTGCCGTCAGAGGCTTGTATGCCTATGGATGTGTTTTTCTAATTGACTAAGAGGCAGAGGAGTGGCATTGTGGACAGAGAACCTGTTAGACAGGCCTTAGGTGTATGTTTGTTTGCTTTTTGGTACTGGGGATTGAACCCAGGGGTGCTTAACCACTGAGCCACATCCCCATAGTCCAGAAGGTCCAGAAAGAGGAGGTCTGTTTTAAGAGGTAATCTAGTCTGACCAAAACAAAGAAATCAGGAATACCTTAAGTTTCTTGAGGGCAGAAACTCATCTTACCTTTATATTTCTGGTCCTAGTACATTTCCAGTGACATACTTGGTACTCAATAAATGTCTGTTGACTTGAACTGGAAATTTGGAAGAAGAAGGCAAAGGAGGGAACTTGAGAGAGTTCAGAATCAAGAATCAAGGGAGACACCCTAGAAATACGGGGTCCAGGAGAGAGACTCCAGACGTGTGGTCCTGATTCACTTACTCCAAGCCATTGGGGAATCCTCCAGAGGAACAGGGTGCTGTGGCTTTAAATGACTTCAGCATTGTCAATGAATCTGCTCTGCTAAAAGAGTTATCCTCTTGCTCCTGCGCTTGGCCTCCCCCTCCTCTCAGCTCCCCAAACCCTTCTCGGCCGCTGTGATGGGATAATTAGATGCGAGAGCTCAGCACAGATGATGCTCCAGTTGCTTAGCAACTAATGGTTTCCATGGAGACCGCAAAGCACAGCCTCCAGAGCAGCCAGTGAGCAGCTCGGCAGGGCAGGGAGAAGACGCAACTCTCTGCTCCTCCAGAAACCTGGGGAGGGTTGGGGTGGGGAAGGTGGGGGGGTTGTTGGAGGGAGAAGGGAGGGCTTAAAGGCACAGGGCCCTCATATCCCTTTAAAACCTGGTCTGAGATCTGCCCTACCCTAATCTGTCTCATCATAATTTCAGATGGAGAATGGGAGCTTAAGGGTGGACCCAAGGCAACCCGCCCTGCAATAAACTCAACCTCTTCTCCTTTCTGCTTCCTGGTTATGATTGAAATGGAAAAAGATACCTCTCAAACCCAAATGTAAACATCCTGCCAGGGGGTGATGGAAGTTGAGAAGTGTCAGGAACATCCCCTCCCCCCAGGCATTCCACCCTTGACTCTGTTCTCTTTCATGTGCGAAAGATCCTCTTTCAGTTTATAAAGCAGGGCTAAACGGGACAAAAACCAAGGAGCAGGAAAAACAGAATTTAATTCTTCACCAAAAGGCAGCCCATCCTGGCAAACTGGAGGGGAAGCCCCACCCTTGCCTTCCATTGGAAAAGACCCAGGGTAAGTGTTGGGGGGCAGGTATCAAAACCAATCCTCTGCAAGTCCAAGTGAGCACCATCTGTGTTACCTGAAAGCTCATTGGAAACGCAGAATTTCAGGCTTCGCCTCAGACCCTCTGAATCAGAAACTGCATGACAAGAGATCCCTGGTCATTCATAAGCAAAATAAATTTGAAGAAGCTCTGGCCTAAGACCCTTCTACCCTCAGCCTGGGTCCTCTTTACTGTTGTCCCCATTCACACCCAGGATGGAAGCCCACCCTTCCCACCAATGGGGTAGGAACGCAGCTCCACCAGCCCCTCATGATCATACAAGGATGCTGGCCTTCTCTGGGACGGGAAAGATAACAGGGTCATGGAGCAAAGAGACCTACAGCAATTATCTCTGTAGAGCACAGGCCTTTATAGAATTCCACAACCTCTCCTGACAGTGTTCCACTTTCCACAAGTGACTACCTGAATTTCAGTTTCCACATTTACAAACGGGAACCAGTAACATCCATTACTCGGATCACTGTAGCTTATGTATGTGGGAACACACGGAGCCCCTGGCCCATGCCCAGAGTAGGGGCATCCTTGTCTCCCTCATGCCCCCGCTTTCCCTTCTGCTGATAGTCCCTCCTTCACCTCTCTCTCACTGGCCCAGGGCAGGGGGTGGTCATAAGTTGTATCATTGTTTTGTATTGTTTTTGCTTTTGTTTTTTCATTTTCTTTCTTTTCTTTTTTTGAACTCCGCAATTGATAGAAAGGGTAATGTACCTTTTTTTTTTTTTTTCATTTTCTCTTCCCAGGTCTCTTTCATTTTATTTGTTTTGCCTCGCTGGGGATCAAACCAGGACCTGACATGCTAAGCATGCTCTCTACCCCTGAGCTGTAGCCTCAGCCCTCTTTCTCTTCTTTATTCTCAGTTCAACAAATGTTTGCTGCCCAAGGCTGACTGTGCCCACCCCACCCACGCTTGTCTCTCCAGAAGTCTTCCCTGGATTCCCTTGTTCCCACCCACTGGAGGAATCTGAAAGCCTACATGTCAGGTCACCCCTGCCTTTCCAAGAGCAGCAATAGCTGGGCCTCGGTGAATACCAAGAATTAAGCCCCCTGCTCTACCACCCCTCTCCCTGTGATCAGTCTCTTTCTCTCCTTTTAGAAGCCCCTCAAGGTTACTCTCCTCTTCCTACATACCAGGGCAACTTCGGAATTCATGCCCTTCCTGGGAAGACCCCTGCCATGAAGGGAGAGCAGCCCCCCACCCCAGGCCAGGCTCTAGACCCACACAGGTGCCCACAGGAACACTGCTTCACATATGGGAGGCCCAGAAGAGGGGGTGGTTTACCTTGCTCCTCTGCAGCTGACTAATCACCAGGACCCAGACGGGCACCCCCACACACTTCTGGCCTGAAGGCCAGCTCTCAGTCCTGAAAAACCTGTCCCAAACTCCCCCCAGGCCATAGGGCCCAAGGGGCAGGTTGGACTGGATTCCCCTCCAGCCCCTCCCACCCCAGGACAAAATCAGCCACCCCAGGGCAGGGCCTCACTTGCCTCAGGAAGCCCCAACCTGCCAGCACCTGTTCCAGGATCCAGGTTTCAGCCCAGCATGGCATCCCTGCGGCCTGTCCAGACCTTGCCCTTGATCCTGATTCTGCTGGCTATACTGGCCCCGGGGGCTGCAGGTCTCTGCAATCTCTGGGGAAAGGTTCAGAGGTCTAAACATGGGGCACTGGGCCTTCCAGTTTCTCAAAGGGAAGCTGGTCTGGCTGGCTAGGGGTGGGGGTTGGTGATATCAGTGACCGGGCATTAGACATAGGATCCAGGGCACATTCCTGGGCCTCTTCCAGACCCAAGAGGCAGAGAAGTGTGGGAAAGGGTCCAGGGCTGCCCGTGGGGATAAGATTGGGCGCTGACTGCCTCCTGGCATCCAAAGTCTGGTTCCAGGGCAGCTTGGAAGAGTATGCAGCTTCTGCGGCCCAAGCCTGCCACCTGGTGGTCAGGCTCGCACAGGCTTGGCTGTTCTACTCTCCAGCTGCAGAAAGGGGAGAAGGATTTCGCTTCCTTAGCAGTGGCCCCAGGGGAATGCACCAGATCTGACGGCTGGACAGGGACTGATCCCCATCTGAACTCCCTTCTGGCCTCCCAGCAGAGTTCAACATCTCAAGCCTCTCTGGTCTGCTGTCCCCAGCGCTAACCGAGAGCCTGCTAGTTGCTTTGCCCCCCTGTCACCTCACAGGAGGCAACGCCACACTGACTGTCCGAAGAGCCAATGACAGCAAAGGTCTGCCTCCTGCTCCCCAGGCATCCCCCTGGTTCCCAGGGACCTCTTCCCAGGGCACCACCGGCATCCCTTCCCCTATTCATGCCACCTTGTCAAACCCTCTCTTGGGGCATTCAAACTCAAAGCTGCCCCTTTCTCCCTGGAGCTTCCAAAAACTTGACCCTGATTTTCACTCCCAATTTCCTGCCCAGTGGAGAAGTCCAGTTTTATAGTGCCTCCATGCCGTGGGCGCAGGGAGCTGGTGAGCGTGGTGGACAGTGGGAATGGCTTCACAGTCACACGGCTCCGTGCATACCAGGTGACAAACCTCCTCCCAGGAACCAAATACTAGTAGGTACCTGACCCATGCCTAGAGCAACTTAGGGATGGGGGTGCCGGAAGAGAAGCTGGGAGGGTTCTGGTCAGCATGGGAGAGAGAGAGAGAGAGAGAGAGAGAGAGAGAGAGGGCACGGCCAAAGGGTGTGCAAAGTGTCCTCTCCTGGGGGAAGGCACAGCCATGAAGCTAGGTTGGGGAGCAGGCTGGAGCCCCTCTTTCCCTAAGTCCCAGATACTCACTGAACATTTTCTCCTCTCTCTCCAACCCCACCCCAAAAGTATTTCCTACCGAGTAGAGAAGGGGACATCTACCGAGTCCAGCAGAGAGATCCCAATGTCCACGCTTCCTCGTAAGTAGCGCTCTGCCTCCATCTCTGGGTCCACAGACCTTTTAGGGACACTCTCACTCCACCCCCCAGTGTGGATTAGCTGCCCCCCTGCGCCACCACAGCACCTTTGCATCCTACCACAGAGGCCCGTGGCATCTTCTTGTTGACTCATCTGTCCTACTATTAAACTAAAGGCTCCTCATGGGTAGGGTTGGTGTCCTAACCTCTGTATGCTCGGGGACTCCCCTAGGAGATGTTCTGTAACTTTGGTTTGATGGGTGTTTGGGTCCACTGCCTGGCTGTTCGGATGGATGAATAACTGAAAGAATGGACATTGGTTGGGTGGCCAGATGAGAGCTAAGCTGTGCACCTGGGGTAGCCTTGGGCCCTTCCTGCCCTCAAAGGCATCCCTTTTTCTCTTCTGACAGGAAGGAATATGGAGTCCATTGGTCTGGGAATGGCCCGAACAGGGGGCATGGTGGTCATCACAGTGCTGCTGTCTGTGGCCATGTTCCTGCTGGTAGTGGGTTTCATCATTGCCCTGGCTCTGGGCGCTCGAAAGTAAGGAGGGCTGACCTGCGCGGGGCTCCTTCAGGAAGTCCAGAAACCCTCTGTGTCCCAGTCTGCCTCCTCCTGGGCCTCAGCCACCAGCCTCTGGCTCCTTCAGTGCCTTCATGTCCCTCTCCCTGCCCCCACCCTGCCCCTGGAGCCCTTTCCTCCCTCAGTCCCTCTCCCTACCCCCAGTGCCACACCACCCAACACTCCCTACCATTCCCCTTGCTGCAATCCTGTGGGAGTCGACATTCCTCCCATTTCACCACTCTGACCCCCATTACAGTCCACCCTTTCCTCTGTGAACTTGGTCTCTACAATAAAGGCTAATCCACATCTACCCTGTGCGGTTCCCGTTAGTGGGCTCCAATTGAAGGCAAACCTATAGAATCCACATCCAGGCTGCAAGTGCACCTGGACTCCTCCCTGCCTCAAGTCTCAGCATATAAGACACCAGGAGTCAGAGCTCTCAGACCCACACCTGGGCTGTGGCTTTTACATTCTGCACAGCACGAAGAAGACCACCCAACCAGGGTCCTGGGTTGGCGGCAGAGGCTGAGGCTGGGGCATCAGGTAGGGGCCAAGGGGCCTGAGGGCCTGGCTGGGGCTGGCAGAGCAGGGAGAAGCACTGGGAGAAAGAGCCACTGTCTGGGAAAGACAAAGACCGGGCCACCAGGGTGAGACCCAAGGATAGGGCACTGGAGGGGGAAGTAGAAACAGAAGTGGAAGGACCCTGGATGGAGGGGGACAAGGGAGGTAGAGTGTGGTAAATAAGGGAAAAGGGCAGGAGTACCCTTTTTTTTTTGTACCAGGGATTGAACTCAGGGTCACTTAACCTCTCAGCCACATCCCCAGCCCTTTTTAATATTTTATTTAGAGACAGGGTCTCGCTAAGTTGCCTCAGGCCTGGATAAGTAGTTGAGTCTGATCTTGAACTCAATAATCTTCATGCTTCAGCCTCCTGAGCTGCTGGGATTACAGGCATGCGCCACCGTGCCCAGCAGGAGTGGTCATAATTCACTCATCCAGTACATATTCCTTACAGGGACCAGTGATCTTTACATTGCTCTCTTTCTTCTTTCTTTCCTCCCCCTCCCCCTTTCTCTCTCTCTCTTCCCTCCTCCTCCTCCTCCTCCTCCTCCTCCTCCTCCTCCTCTTCTTCTTCTTCTTCTTCTTCTTCTTCTCTCTCTCTCTCTCTCTCCTTCTTTTTCCAGTATTGGGGATTGAATCCATGGCCTCAAGCAAGCACTCTTGTACTGAGCTACATTCAGGCAGGCCTAATATATCCCATAACTTCCTTGCAATTTTTACCACCATCCCTCCAAGATACTGTGTTCCTGCTTTCCTCAGGACCTTTGTACAGAGTATTCTGTGAGCCAGAACTGCTCTTGTGACTGCTCCCACTGCCTCTTCACTCCTATTTACATAGTTAGCTTCCTGTCCCTTTTCAAGGGAAGCCTCTGACCTTCATTCCTCCCTTTAGGTTGGACTCCCCTATCCCGTCTCCTAGTGTTACCACATAGTTTATAACTGTGTTTGTGTGATTATTTGATTGCCTCCTGTATCAGATGGTGAGTTTCCTGAGAGCAATTGCTTTGCTCCTATCTTTATTCCACTCTGCCTGGAACATAGTAGGCACTCAATAAATACTTGTTGAATAAGTGAATGAATGAACAAGCCTGTAAAGAGAAGGGGGAATCTGGGAAAGGACCAAAAATCCTGTGAAAACAACCAGAAAGGATTCACAGGAACCTTGATGACCTCTTTGTAGAGTGATCCTAGAACTTGAGACAGGGAAGAAATGGAAGAGAAGGACAATGATCTTTCTCATTCCACAAAAATTAACTGAGCATGTGCTATGTGCCAGGTGCTCCTGAAGGATCTAGGCTCACACTGTGAAGAGACATCTTTCTTCTCTCATGGAATTAACATGGAAATCAATTAAATAGAAAATGTAATGAATGCTGTGAGTAACGGAAGAGGATCAGACACTGGGCTCTTCTTTACTTTGAGTGGGAGTAACCAAGCCAAGGCTGAAAGCTGGGGAAGTCTGGGCTTTCTTCCCCACCCTATTGCAACAGCCCAGGAAGGTTTAGGAGCGCGGCCTAAACCTACAGGAGGACACTGGGCTGGAAACTGCACTGTACTTCACATTAACATCATCTAAAGAGCTCATGAAAAAGTTTAATAAGCCAGAATGGTGGTACACACCTGCAATCCCTGTAACTCAGGAGGCTGAGGCAAGAGGATAGCAAGTTGGAGGCCAGCCTGGGCAATTTAGCAAGGCAATATATCCAAATAAAAATCGAAAAGGAGGGCTGGGGTTGTGGCTCAGAGGAAAGAGCCCTCACCTAGCATGTGTGAGGCACTGGGTTCGATCCTCAGCACCACATAAAAATAAAGGTATTGGTTAAAAAAAAAAAAAAACCAAAAACGTCTGGGGATGTAACTCAGAGTTAAAGCGGCCTTGAGTTCAAATCCTCAGTACAAAAAAAAGCCCGATGACCAGATCACACTTCATACCAAGATCAAAATGACAAGGTGGTAGACATTTAGCTCAGGGGTAGAGCACTTGCCGAGGATGTGTGAGGCCCTGAGTTCAATCCCCCAGCACTACAAAAATAAGTAAATAAAAAATTTCAGCTGGGCATGATGGCACATACCTATAATCCCAGTAGTTTGGGAGGCTAAGGCAGCAGATCCCAAGTTTGAGGTCAGACTAGGCAACTTAGCAAGGCCCTAAGCAACTTAGTGAGACCTTGGATCAAAATAAAATATAAAAAGGGCTAGGGATGTGGCTCAGTGAATTGAACCCCTGGGTTCAATCCCTAGTATTACTACTACTACTACTACTAATAATAATAATAATTTCAGAATGACAGGGGTGGAAGCCAGGTATTAGTATTTATTTAAACACAACCCCCACCCCACCAGGAGATTCCAGTGTGCAGTAAAGTTTGGAAATTGAATAAAATTTACTATTTCTTTCTTTCTCACCCCCACCGCCATCTGTACTTGATTAACCCAGGGGCATTTAACCACTGAGCCATGTCCCCAGTTCTTTTAAATATTTTATTTAGAGATAGGGTCTCGCTAAGTTGCTGAGACTGGTTTTGAACTTGCGATCCTCAGCCTCTGAAGCAGCTGGAATTATAGGTATGCACCACCTCACCCAGCCATTTTAACCATTTCTAAGTGTACATTTCAGCATCATTACCTCCTCCTTCTTCTTCTTCTTCTCCTTCTCCTTCTCCTTCTTTCTCCTTCTCCTTCTCCTTCTCCTTCTCCTTCTCCTTCTCCTTCTCCTTCTCCTTCTCCTTCTCCTTCTCCTTCTCCTTCTCCTTCTCCTTCTTCTTCTTCTTCTTCTTGTGGGGCTAGTGCTGAACCCAGGCCTCCGAGCATGCTAGGCAAGGACTCCACCACTGAACCACGCCCCTGCCCTAACATCGTTGTGCTACCATCACCACTATCTATTGGCAGAATTTTTCCACTATCCCAAACAGAAACTCTGAGCCCATTAAATAACTACTATCACCTCCTTCCCTAGTTCCTGGCACTCGCCACTCTACAGTCTGTCTCTATGCATTTGGCTCTTCTAGGTACCTCTGTCACTGAATTACACAAAATTTGTCCTTTTGTGTCTGGCTTATTTCCCTTATAATATCTTCAAGGTTCATCCATGTTGTAGCATGTGTCAGAACTGTATTCCTTTTTAAGGCTGAATAATATACCCTGTATGTTCATACCATTATTTTGTATTTGTATTCATCCATTGGTGAACACTTGGGTTCTTGCCAAATTTTGGCTATCGTGAATAATGTTGCTGTGAACAATAATGTTCAAATATCCCTTTAAGTCTATGCTTTCCAATCTTTCAAGTATATACCCAGAAAAAAAAAAAAAGTCTTGTTGGATCCTATGGTAATTCCATGTTTAACTTTTTGAGGAACCACCGTAGTATTTTCCACGGTGGTGGCAGCTCTGCCATTTTACATTCCCATCAGTGATGTGCAAGGATTTGAATTTCTCCACATCCTCAACAGACTGTTTTTCTTCTTTTATTGGATATCTTTGCCAGTGGAAAGCTTTCCAACATTTAGGAAACTTCCTTCAGACACATGCCTAGAAGCTTGAGAGAGATGAGATGAGCCACAAATCAAAACTTCTATCAGGTCTTTCATGTTTTTCTCAACAAGGGCTAAAATAAGACTTCTCACATCTCAGCTTCCCAGAAGGTCAGTCCCTTATTATGGATACAGCTAACCATGATGCAACCCCAAATAACCAAGCAATTGGTAAGGGGAACACTGAGGAACCTCAAGAGAGATGGTCCCACACATTCTGGTGGCCAATAATAGACTCCAGGTATCTGGTTCCATCATGTGGTGACAGTCATGATCAGTCAGGGGCCAGCTCTGGACACACCTCAACATCTCCAGGCCTTGGACCCCGGCAGCAAGAATTCTGGCTCCCCACACTCCGGATCATATCCAGCAACCACTGTCTTGCTCCATGTGGCCCAATGACAGTAACTTGAGTCTGGCTTGTGGCTGTGAACCATGGATCCAGCTGAATTAGGGTGGGGCTATGCACCTCCATAGATCAAAGGTATTTATCTCCATGACCAATTACATGCTTCTCTAGCTCTTCTTCCATGTAAAATACCAATGGAGAATGAAAGTTTTCAGGCCACGTCCACCATGCTTTCTTGCCAAGAGTGCTCATTTCCAAATGGTACACTGCTCTTACTTGATTCAGAGTACAACAAGTCCAAGCCACTGGCTGGAAAATGTCTTTTTCTTCTTTTATAATAGCCTTTCCAGAGAGTATGAAGTGGCATCTCATTGTGGCTTCTTCTTTTTCTTTTTTTTTTTGGTAGTACTGGGGATTGAACCCAGGGGTGCTTACTGGTGAACTACATCCCCAGTCCTTTTTATTTTTATTTTGAGACAGAATCTTGTTAAATTGCCCAGCCTGGCCACAAATTCTAATCAGGCATGGTGACCACACCTGTAATCTCAGAAACTTGGGAAGCTGAGGCAGGAGAATTGCAAGTTTGAAGCCAGTCTTAGCAATTTAGCGAGACCCTCAACAACTTAGTGAGACCCTGTCTCCAAATAAAAATTAATATTTTATTTGGAGACAGGGTCTCAGTAAGTTGCTTAAGGCCTCACTAAATTGCTGAAGCTGCTTTGAACTCAAGATCCTCTTACCTCAACTTTCCGAGCTGCTAGGATTATAGGTGTGAGCCACCACGCCCAGATCCCACAATTTTTTATTGGTGC